TTGATAGCACTTTTGAAAAACAGATGACTTATTCGTATACACTTATTTTTTTATTTGTTATGCTTTTTTTTTGGAACATTTTTTGGTATATTTGTACGAGTGTAGCATTGCAAATTGTATCACAACTATGCAAGAAAATTTCAGGTTGGAGGAAAATAATTCCTGTTCCAGAGCATGAGTGAAGTATTTCTTTTTACTTTGACCAATGAGAATATCAACTTTGTAAAGTACTGAAATGTATCTGAGAGGATCAAACTTATCTAACAGGAAATTGACAAAATTGATTTTAAAAACCATTGGAACCAATGGAGAGTAATAGAATAAGCATATTTTTTATCTTCATGTAGAAACGCACAACAGCAGTACTGCTTAATGTTATTGATTGACACTGTCAATTATTTCCTGTGTTCCCCTGTGCAGAGAATTTATCAGCCACCTCCGGCTCTACAGAGCCTTTTATGGCGGCCTGGCTGATCATTTGTGCGGTAATGAGTTGGCAGCTGCTGATGGACTCCCATGTTGGAATGGAGAAGATGTTGTAAAAAGGTACCTTTCTGACTCACTTTTGTCTTGTCTTTTGTATTTCGTGTTTCTCTAAAGTAGCTTCCAAGTTGAGTCAAGTATGTTGTTTCCCTAGGTATGTGTCAAGGTTAATTTGAAAAACAAATCAGTGTGGGTTTCTTTCTCTCTGGCTTCACCTGTAAACAGGAAAAAAAAATCCCCCCACATCTCCGTTTTGAGGAAAAAAAAAGAATTCTGCTCTTCTTCAGACATTTTTCCTTCAAATTTAGGCACCTAAACATATACCAGAAAAGAAGCTGGATTGACATTTGCAAAATACAGTTGGAGAAAAAGATTATGGATTTTTGTTTGAGCTTGATCTTTATAAAATGCTTCTTGTAATGCAGAGTGTGTGATAACAGACTCAAGCTATTTGCTTAAAACTTTCTCTGGCTCTGAAGAATGGAGTAATCTCTTAATATATATGGTTTCTCAGGAGAGAGCTAAAAGTTAAAACACGAAGATAAAACATTTTAAAGGTGAAACACATGTATTGATTTATGTATGCAGCAGCTTGGGAGACATCATTCAGCAGTAATGGCAAAGAAGAGATAATAATAAACTGCTATGCTCCTGGATGTGTATCTGTGCAATCAATATATTTCACAGCTTACAAAACACTAGTATTTGTGGGTGTCAGAAGGATTTTCAGAGAACTGATCTCTATGTTTTTACTTTATTGCTCTCATCACCAAAACAAGTATTTCTCTGAGCAGAAAGTCCTTGTGATGACAGAGACCAAAATATTAAAAGGTTCATTGCAATTCTTTTTGTATAAAGATCGTGAGATTGTGCTGTTAATACAGCATTTATTAGTGGATAGTGTCAAAGGTCATATCAAAGAAGGTGGCTAAAGGCTGTAAGGTGAGTTAATAAGATGGGAGATAGCTGGTACCAAGTAGAAGGAACAGCGACAGCCTGCACCTTCAGGTATCTCTAAAAAGGTTAGGTAGGAGCTGTACATTATTGATTAATGATACCTAAGGATACTTAATGGATACCCTTTCAGCAGACAGCTGCAGGTCTACTTTTATCTTCTTGGGCAGTCTAATGCTTTGGCAGCATCAAGGCCCAATGCATGGTTGACTCCCTTCATAGTCTTATTGGGAACCTTCGTCCTAAGGTTTCAACAATCTTCTCAAGATGACATGTTCCTTCTTTAGATGTCTATATTTCAGATTTAATCTCAGCTTTATCTCCTGGCTTTTGTTTTGCTGCCTTTCCCCAAATGAGTTATACTATTCCTACCAAATGTTTCGGTAACAATTTGAAGTAAGCACCTTGTAATTACAGATTTCCCAAGAACAAGGTTCCTGTACCATTACTTTTGGCTGCTTGTAGTCTTGCTATTATGTTATATCTTTTCAAACCTATATTATAATATTATATGATACTATTGTATGATACTATTATATTTTAGTCATTATTATATTATTATACTATTACTATGTTTATACTATAATACCTTTGATTTTGATTGATTAGACACTAAAGTCCTCATACAGAAATGAAACATTGTACTAAATTCTAGACTAGTGTTCTTTAAAAGTAATTTAATTTGACAAAAGATATTTAATTAATGCAATTTATTTATCTGTGGATCAACCTAAAGATATAATTGGTGACAAAAGCACTATATCTTAAAAGCAGGACCACTTTGATATTAGTTCAACTTATAAATTTCCTTACTGAAATATTTTGTTTTCATATGTA